AAGTTTCAACTTTCTTTTGCAGACAGTGGGAAGCCATTGCATTGTTTTAGGCAAGGGAGGGACAGGCCGATTTCCCTTTCAGAAAAATCACATTGGCAACAGGAAGGAGGATGATTTGGAAGGGAATGAGACAAGTTTGGAAGTGATAAAGGTGTGAATAAGCCAAGGGCATAGAGGTGGAAGAAAGATAATGTGCTCCTTTCAAACTTACAACATTTAAGGTACTCAAGGAATAGCCAACTTAAAATATCTGGTAGGAAGTTGGAAATATGAGTCTCATGCTCAGAAGAGAGACCCGGATTGAGAAGCATTAATAAGTAAGCCCTGACTGAAGCCACAGGAGTGAATGGCATTGCATTGAGAAAGCATGTAGAATGGGGAGAGAAGGGGCCCAAGGCTGAATTCTGGGAAATATCGATATTTGAAGTCAGGTGGAGGAAAGACATTGAGAGGGTGGCTGGGGTGCAAGGAGCTGAGGAGTGAAGGGAGGAGGAAGGATGTTGGTGAAGAATCTACTCTTTTAAGAAAGTTGGATGAAAAGGAAAGGAAAGAGAGGGCTGAAGCAAGAGGAGGTTGCCGAGTGGAGGGAGGTATTTTATTTTGTTACATCTGCTAGGTGAAGATGAGTGAAGAGTTCGAAGTTAGATACAGGAGAGACAGGGATAATGGATGGAGGTTGGAAAGGACAGGATATAATGCATACCTGGAGGGAATAGTCCTAGGCAAGAGAGGTGGGGAGGGGCATTTATTCTTCCAACAAGGGAGGAAAGAAATCAGAAAAAGTTTAATTCCATGGTTCTCACATTGGAACCACTGAGGTAACTTAAAAAAAAAATGCCAATAGCTGGGCCGCACCTTGGAAGTTTCTGGTTTAATTAGTCTGGGATGAGTCCAGGGTATTGGTATGTTTTCAAAGCTTCCCAGGTGATTAAAATCTGCAGTCCAGGTTCAGAACCACTGGTTTAATTGTAGGTAACTTTTTAGATTTGTGATAATGGGATTGGATTTGAGGAAACTCACACTTAATAAGGCTGGATGAATAGGGAGTGGTCAAGGTTTAGGACAGATGAGGATTGAGGAAAGAGAAAGAATTTAGAAGGGCAGGAACTAATGCTAACAGTGACTTTTATGTGCCAGAGAAATAGAAATGAATGAGGCTCCATCCTTGTTCTCAGAGATCTGGATCTTCTGTGAGAGACACCTCACAACAGCCCTATGACATAGCAGAGTTCTTGACCAGTGACTTTTTTTTGGCTATTTTTCTTCCTTTTCCAATAAAAGTGAGGGAAAAAAATCTCACTAAGCCCAGGTATTTCACAGTAGAGACTGGGTCTGTAAATACTTTCGTAAGCTCTGAGAGTAGCCTTTCTAGTGAGTTGGGTGCTGGGGAAAGAGCTTTAATTTTCCTGGGAGGCTGAATTATCCCCAGGTTCCTCAGCAGGGTACAAGAAGGGGGTGGTTGTGGTCTGCCATGTGGGTACATTACTGTGCTCACCTGTACCTGGGAGGTGGCTGCGATTGCCACTTGCTCACACTGATACACTCTGATGACCGACCATCCTGCTGAAGGTGTGAAGCTTCTATGAGCAAGTTACTATGGATTCTCCCTTCCCAGAGCAGTGCTGTAAAAAGGCCCTACTTTCCACCAGAGCAGAAAACCTAACCTTTGCAACTGTGGTCCGGGACCGACCTCCAGGGACAGCTTCGTCCACACAGGAAGCAAGCACTCCTCTGGAGCCTGAGCCTTCTCTTGGAAAAGGTCCACTGCCACTTCTCGAGCTCCGTGCATCTTCCCCCGGAGACTCAACCTCTCAGGGCTCCTGAGAGGCCTCGGTCTCCCTGCCCCGCCCCTGCCACCTAGGCCCGTGGGTCTGGTGAGAAGTTGGAAGGGCTCTAACTGGGGGCCCTGGCTTTTTGACTGGGAGCCTCCTTCCCTGAGCAGGACTCCCGAAAGAACTGGGAGCACCCCAGGCACATAACAGAGAGGGGAAGTTTGTGTGGGGCTTGACTGTGGTACTATGGGTACGTAGAAGGGGCTCCTTCTGTGACCTCATTAGTCCCTTTTATATAAACAGAAATTGAGGCTTGCAGAAATTAAGAAACTTGCCTATATCCTCAAGCATAGGAGCTGTGCAAAGTCAATCTGCTCCACTCTGTCGTCCTTCAGGCTCCTGGCTCCCTCTGTTGCTCTAAGTTGGCCCCTTTGGGAAAATCTCAGTTGAAAGTCACCTCAGTGCTCTCTTTCCTCCAAAAGCAAATTAGGCCAGATCCCTTGTACTGTAGGGCACATGGGCCTTCTATTAATACTTGGGTCTCTGTTTCCTCCTGTGAAGCGAAGATGTGTGAAATCCAGATGGGTTTCTATCCCAGGGGCGAGGGTAGACCACAGTCCAGAGAATTGCTGGATGGCATACATCACTCCAATTAAATCTGCAGTTGGGCCTCTTCTCTGTAACCTAGTGTTTTCACTGCAGCGATGTAATTGAAAGCCCCCAATCTCACCCTCAAAGAAGAGGAAGAAAGGACCAGACTTATTCTAGCCTGATGCTTGATATCTGCTAATCCTGAAGCCTCATCTGTTGAAATCCAGACCTAGGTTTCAAGCTTTATGTGGGCGCCAGTCTACAGAAGTCTCTGTGATTCTGGCATCAGAAGCCGTTTTTGATTCTTTGGACCCCTTTGAGGTTTGTGAGACAGGCTAGCGGCAGGTGAACATCATTCACACTAAAACCTGCGGGAGAGTCAGACAGCGGTGCCATGGCAGTCCTGACATTGCGACAAATGATACCCTTGCTGCCCAGCACAGGGGTGTGCTCTTGACAGGGCTGGGACACCCTTGGCCCTTCCTACCTCCCTCACCCTTCCACAGCTCTCCTGCCACTTGTCTTTCATACGCCTACTTATAGTCACTGCCAGGGCCCCCAGTGCAGCCCAGTGCCTGCACATGATAGGCACAAGGTGGCTGAGTGCATGGTTGTGTGCAGGGACTTGAAATGATTTTGCATATTTCATGAAGTCGTGGTGCTGAGTCACTCGCTGGCCCATACTATGGAAAGAGGGGTTGAGGAGAGGCAGGGGTGGCAGGAAGGAGAAAGGAAGTGTTCTTTTCTTTCCTCCTTTCCTCCCTTCCTCCCTTCCTCCCTTCCTCCCTCCCTCCCTCCCTCCCTCCCTCCCTCCCTCCCTCCCTTCCTCCCTCCCTTCCTTCCTTCCTTCCTTCCTTCCTTCCTTCCTTCCTTCCTTCCTTCTTTCCTTCCTTCCTTTTTCTCGTCTCACTTTATTTGCCCAGGCTACAGTGAGTGCCGTGGTGTCAGCCTGGCTCACAGCAACCTCAAACTTCTGGGCTCAAGCGATCCTCCTGCTTCAGCCTCCTGAGTAGCTGGGACTACAGGCACGCGCCACCATGCCCGGCTCATTTTTTCTATATATATATATTAGTTGGACAATTAATTTCTTTCTATTTATAGTAGAGACAGGTCTCTCTTTTGCTCAGGTGGGTTTCAAACTCCTGAGCTCAAACGATCTGCCCATCTCAGCCTCCCAGAGAGCTAGGATTACAGGCGGGAGCCACCACGCCCGGCCGGAAGTGTTTCTTAACATTCTCCATCTTTGAACAATGCAGCAAAGGTGGTTCTGTCCTCATCTTTGGACAGGTTAGAATAGACCTCTGAAAGAGATGAGATTAGGTCTCAGAGAAACACTTTCATCAAGGAGGAGCAAAAATCCCCAAACAAGTGAGGAACAGAGTCTGGGGGTCTCCTTCTCTGGGATTTCTTAATGACAGGGTTGGGAGAGCAGGTACCAGGATGGGGAGCTGGAGGAGGTTGAGATGTTGAGAAGGCCTTGCCCTGCTTGGAGAGAAGTGTGTGAAGATGCTTTTGAAGTAATACTACTCTAAATAAGTGTTGGGTTGCTCAGCAGTAACACTAATGATAATATAATACTTCTGCTTTCACTCGCCGCAAGGGAAACGTGGACTTCCCACAGCCCAGGCTTTTAGGAGCGGGTCCCTATGGGTGGGGTCAGATCTGTCGCCCCACTTCATGAACCCTAACTGGTTTCTTGGCGTGCTTCGAGGCAGAAATGCTCCAACTGTGTCAGATATTCTGTGAGACCCTACGATCCCAGTGTAGTATTTTCAACTCTGAAGTATTTGAAACTCCTGGGGCGAAGAGCCCTGCCTGACTTGGGGTTAGGGACCCGACTGGCCACGGCATTTTTACTCCTGTTAGGTTTCCTGGGATAAGGCCCCCTCTCCTGCGCCATCCTAACTCCCTGGCGCCGGAGCCACCTCCTCCTCCCCCGCTCCCCCAGGGCAGGGTTCCCTTTGTAATTAATCCCAACACTCAAACCAGAGGGGAGGAAAAACGTGTTAATGAGGGAGCGTCCCAGACTGACTGGGGCGGTCGCTGCTCGCAGCTAGAGCACCGAGTAATTAAATTATTTTTGGAAGGGGGGATATGGTGGTGATGGTGTCAGGGAAATCCCGGTATGCAGGGGAGCGTCGCTCGCCACTAATTAAAATCAGGGATGACACTCCCTTCTTGTAGCCCTAGGGGAAAGAATCAACCTTCCCACGTCTCAGATTTCATTGGATTTTGTGTAGCCGGGTCTGTGGCCCCAAAGGAGAGGCTGCGGCCAGCCCCGGGGGTCTGGGGGCTCCGTGTCTCCCAGGAGGGTCGAGGAAGACAGCCCAGGAGGGGGGCTGCGGGCTGGACCAAGGCCAAGACTCGAGCGGCCCCCCGCCCACCGTTCGGGGCCGGGGTCGCAGCCCCACCGCTGATTCCCAGGATCCGGGAGGGCAACCGGGCATCTGGAGGCGAAGGGCTGGGGGAGCGGCGACTCCGGGAAGAGCGGGGCCGCAGACAATGGACGCCGCGGCAGGAGGGGCGGCGGCTGCGGGAACAGCCGGGAGGCGGCACCCGGGAGCGCGCGCTCCCCCGCCCCCTGCACCCCCCACTCTCGTCCCCTCCCCCTCCGCCCCCTCCCCCTCGGCCGCCGGCTCCCGATCTGATTCCTGATCCCTGATTCCTTGATCCTCGGTCCCGCCATGGGAGCCTGAGCGCCCCTATTCCCCCCCGGCCCCCTGCCCCCGGGGCCTTGAGGGGGAAGAGGCAGCGGTCTGGGACGGAGCAGGGGGTGACCAGACTCAAGAGCCCCCCTTAACACCCCCCATCGCCCGCGCTGCCCGTCCGGGAGCACGGAGTTCGGAGCGACCCGGAGCGCTGCGGATACAAAGGCGCCGGGCCGAGCCGGGCGCCCGCGGAGCCCACCCGGCAGTTCGCAGCGGCGGGTGAGTGCCGGGCCGCGGGGGCGCGGGCAAAGTTTGCAAAAAAAAAGAAAGAAAGAAAGAAAAAAAAAGAAACTGAAAAGGAGGACAATTCTGCAAGAGGCCAGGGGGTGCCCGGCCCCGGAGCGAGCGGGGTGGCTTACGGGGAAAGGGCGGCTCGGGGCAACCCCCTTCCGGTCCTCTACCCCACAGCACAGCGGAGCACCCCCCCCAACTTTGGGCAGAGGAAGGGGCGCGCGGGGAGGGGGCGGAGCCGGGGCCTGGAGAGCCGGGGACTTTCCTGGGCCAGGGCCGGGCGGGGGCCTTAATGATCCCAGGGGAGCCGGTTGAAGCCGGAGACGGGGAGCGTGTGTTGGAGGTGGGGGGAGAGGCGGTGGAAGGACCGGAGTCTGGAGGTATTGGAAGCCGAGGGTGTTTCGGGGGTGCATACACACCTCAGGAGTGTGGGGAGGGCGGGGGCAGGCATGTGTTCAGGGTGTAGGGTGGTCTGGGGAGCGGGCTGGGGAGAGTAGTGGGGGTGTGTGTACAGCCCGAGGATGGGGCTGGTGGCAGTAGATTGTGTATGGGGGCCCAGGGGATAGGCGCTGGCATCCCTCTCTGCGATCACATTTACCCCTTTAGGGGCCTGTGGGCTCTACGTTAGTGAGTTTTAAAGGGTTGGTGAAGGATCAGTGTGCATGATTCTTTGTTTTTGTGTGTGTGTGTGCACGCCTTTACGTGCTGCATGTTCCTGCAGGTGGGCCCCTAGGTTTGGATGTATAGGTGTTTTTCTGTTCTAGAGTGTGTGTGCACCCAGGAAGCAGCTGACCATGCATCTGCTGTGTGTTTGGATATGTATTTCTGTGTATACTCCAGGGAAGGGGTGTGAGTCTGTGTGTGTGTACTGGGAGAGGGGTTTGTGGGAAAGAGGTGCATAGGTACTGAGGAAGGTGGGTGTGTAAGGGCAGATTGGGGTACATGTGGATGGGTGTGTGCACCTGTGTACTGGGAAGGGGTGTGAGCGCATCTGTGTTCTCTTGTGTGTAAACTGTGTTGATGGGTAAGTATCAGTGTGGGTGCCTGCCTTAGCTGGTGTGTGTGTTTCCGAGTGTGTGTTGGGGGTGCCTCTTGTCTCTGCAGGCAGATTTTCCTGGTTTTAAGCCCAAAGGGAAGGCTGTCTGCAGGATTCTGAGGCTTCTTGGATGGCCCTGCCTGGGTTCCGGGGAGTGCTTTAAGTATCTGAGACCTCTGGATGGGAGGGAATGAGTTGTCTTATGAAGTGCCCATTTTGGGAGATGAGTTTTTCTGGAAGAGCCTATGTGTTGTGGGGAATAGGGAATATGGGTTCTTGTCGAAGTCCTAGAGGAATTTGGGAGATTGGAGGAGTCAGGGAGAAGAATAGGAGGAAATTCCCTCCTCACTATCATGAGTTGGGTTCTAGTGCTTGGAGAGGCTCCATTCTTGGTTTCTCAGCTGTAGTTCAACCCCCCAGACCACAGTTCTCTTGGAAAGCTCTTTTGGAGTTTGCTGCTTCAGAGCCTGCTAATGCTGCCTGGTCTCTAGGATCCCAGAGTTACGGATGAGTCTTGGGATTTCGGTGTGGGATGGAAGCAGGAGGAAGAAGCATGCCTGGAAGGATGAGACGTGGTAGGGGACAGCTTAGGTTCCCCCTCATGGGGTTGAGAAGGTGGCATGGGGGTGTTTCTTCAGCACTTTCTTCAAGGTAGCCTGTGTGGCATATCACATATCTTTTCTCCCTGGTGAGAAACATGGTTGGGATGGAGCTGTGGGTGAGGGGCCAGGGCTGGGTGCTGTGTGTAGGGGAAGGGGCAGGCACTGTGGGGCTATACTCATCATCACCATAGTGCGTTGGGAGGTCAGTGACTACCTGGGAAGTGATGTCTCTCTCCTCAGTGAAGCAGCAGCTACCTCCTTTCCCTCTCCTCTCTCTTGTCCTTTCTCTTTTAGGGGGAAGGGAAGGGGCTGGCCATGTCCTTCTTTAGGACGCTAGCCTTGTTTCCCCATTGCACACTCTCAGCCATTTTCCTCTTGCTGCCAGAGGCTGGGTTGAGACACCTAGTTTTAAGAGCTGAGGCCGTGATTGCACATGCCCATTAGGGTCTCTGGGCAATTGGAATTGGAATGTTAGACTCTCTAATAGGCACTCGCAATTGGAATGTTCCCTCTTTCAGTCCTCAGGGCTCCCTACCCTTCCTAAGGCCTGGAGATAAAAGTAGTGAGGGTTAGAAAATGTTGGGACCCAGGAGAGGGGCAGAGTAGGAAAAGACCAGATTTTCTTTTTTTCTTTTTTTTTTTAATGCATGATTACCCCAAATCCAACACCTGTGTGATGGTTAGGATTCCCATGGCTAGCAAGGGACTTGCACGAGATGCTATGCCCTGGCCTTCTGGAGTTCCTTGTTTGCTCTCTATATACTCGCCACTTGCATGGTGTATTATACTGGTGGGCGCTCTCTTCCAAGGAGGAGGAACTGTGGTCAGACAATAGGAAGTGCCATTTCTGAAAGTACTTCCAGAATGGAAGCTAGTGGCCACATTGGCCCCTCCTCACCCATTGTCTTGCTCCTGACTTGCATTTCCTCTAATTCTTCCGGGGCAGGCCTCTGGTGTGTCTTCCTCTGCTCTTTCTGATCTGATCCTTGTAGGTCTGAGAAAGATCCTTCCCTGGTCCTAGGGCAGGACAGACTTTTATGTGCTCATCTGGTTTCCAAGAGATCCTTCAGTTAGGGGGAAGGGAACTTGGCTAATAGAAGCTCTGGGTGGAAGAGGGAGGAGATCTGGGACTCTCCGGACTCCCTCTGAGTTTTAGGAACGCCAGTCTTCTCCTTTGCTTATTCTTCCCAAGATAGGCCCCCACACTGCCGGGCCAAAGCAAGGAGCCAGAGAGTTGGTTGGAATTAGTACTTAACAGCGGTGTGACCTAGGGCAAGTTATTAAACCCTATTCCGTAGCCTGGTAGGTATCTTAAGGCACCATCCTCTAAGCTCAGACTGAGCCCTTCCACGAGGAACCCCTGGTCCCTACAGTGGCCTCTTTCCCTTGCTCTTGAATTCTGGCTTTGCCACTTCCTGATTCTGTGACCTCAGACAAAATAGATATATTTTTGAAGCTTCACCTGTAAAATGGAATTAATAAGAGGCCCTGCTGTTCAGGCTTGTGAGGGTTAAATGAAATAATCTAGAGACAGCATGTGGCACGGTGCCTGGCACACAGAAGCACTCAGTTACCTGGACTAGTCTGGATTCTGCTGGAGGGTTATTGTAAGGGAAAGAGGTCTGGGTAGTGGGGTGGGAAAGCTAGGCTTTTGGTTCTGCTCTTCTTCTTAGGCACTACCTACCATCTGCCAGGAGTTGTGTGAAGCACGGGGGACAGAGAGGTATTAGGAAAGGCTTTCACAGGGAGACATGCATAAACACGTTGATTTGCCATAAAGCGGTGAATGGTTGCGTGGAGGTGTGTTCAGGAGGCCACCTGAGCATAGTGGAAGAGTGCTTGGCCCTAGGGTTGGGTATAGGAAAGGTTCCTAGAGGAGATGTGCCCTTAGCTAGATTTTTTTTAAAAAAATTAAGGTGAAATTCACATAATGCAAGATAAACCATTTTAAAGTGAAACAGGCATTTAGTACATTCACAGTATTGTGCAACCACCACCTCTGTCTTGTTCTAAAACAGTTTCACCATCCCGAAAGGAAACCCCTACCCATTAAGCAGTTGCTCTGATTCTCCCACCATCCACCTTAGCTCCTGGCAACCATCAATTTGCATTCTGTCTCTATGGATTTACCTATTCTGGATATTTCATATAAATGGAATCAAACAATGTGTGACCTTTTATATCTGGCTTCCTTCACTTAGCATAGCGTTTTCAAGGTTAATCCACATCGTAGCATGTATCGGCAATTCATTTCTTTTTATGGCTGAATAATATTCCCTGGTGTGGATAGACCTTGGCTGGTTAAAGGATGAGTTAGGCCGACAGGGAGAGAATGAGGAGGGCACTTCTGGCAGAGGCTGAGTGTGAGCAAGAATGAGCACTGGTGTTTGTATCACCAGATCTTTTGGCCTCAGTTTCCCTGCGTTTACAACAAAAGTTAATCATCTCTTTCCTTCCTTGCCCTGTGGAGTTGGTGGGGGTAGAGGTGTTAGGGGAGGAGAGGCCCAGTCAGGATCTGGGCTGGGGATGGGACTTTTAAAAACTTGCTTTTTCTTCTTCTTTTGCTGGGCAGCTCCCTCCTGTCTGCATCTACCTGCATCCCTGTGGGTAGCCATCTCCCTGTTTTACTTGGCATCAACTTCCCCTTTCTCTGAATTGACCTGAAACTTTTCCTCTCAGCCTCTACAGGTGGGTCAGCTGGTGCATGAGATCTGGCCAGCAGAGGTGAAGGGAAGGCCTGGCGTGAATCCTACTCACACTCTGCCCAGCACCGGCCCTCTCCTCTATCCTGTCTCTTGCTGATCTGGCTCAGGCAGCCTTCTGCCACCTTCTCTGTTGTGCTCTGGACAGAACCGTGGTGGGTCAGGGAGAATCTCTGCGTCCCTTGCCTCTCCCCTGCTTGGTACGGAATAGGAGGCAGAGGCCCTTTATGGTGGGGCCCTTTGGGAATGAGGTGTTGCTCGCTTGTTTGATGCCCCTGGCAAGGTTGGTAATTACAGACATGACAGCTGGGAACTGGTTTGAGAGGAGCAGGCTTGGAATCAGCAGAGCTGAGGATATCCTGGTAATCAGGGTGGGGCAGTGAGCATGGAGGGGAGAGTGGGAAGAAGTTGGGGGCTGGGGTGGGGTGGGAAGCTTGGGGCCCCCTTTCCCTGCCGCTCTACACACAGCTGGGCCTAAAGCCTAGAGGAGAGTGGGAGGTGATTGGAGCCCAGGCCCTGCCTCACTGTAAGTGAGGAAGGAGGGACAAGAGGGAGGATGAAGTTTCTGGGAGCCCCTAAAGAAAGAAGCAGAGAGTGGGAAGAGGGGTTTTGGCTGCTCTCTCAGGCAGTGCCTGGATGTGGTCTAAG